AGGTATTTTGAGCAGCGCTGACTATCTGAATCAATACAGTGCCAAGAGATAATAAAATGAATGGACCTGATTTCAAGGCTGTTGCATTTCAAAAGCCATCAGGTCCAAATTGGGTGGGAGTGGGGGAGACAGTAAATTAGAACATGATACTAGAGGGAAAATGCCAAGAAGAAGTTGAATGTTTTTTTTCAAAGGAATATGCAATACAATTTGCATTTATATATCGCCTTTCATGTCCGGAAGACATTTCAAAGTACTTTGAGAGCAGAGAAAGCGAAATCAAATACAGAGGGTTACCACTGAACCTGAAAATAGATTATAAATAAATTTATAGTGCTCCGAGAACCTAGCCCCCGTGTAGGCCGCTGTATAAACCGGGAAGGTGGAATAGTGAAAAATATATAAAAGCGGAAGTAAAATCTAAAAAGATCAACAGCAACAACAACAACAACTTGCATTTATAGAGTGCCTCGCTGTTTCAGTGCCTTGGAGATCAACTGAGATGACAGAGAAAAGCATTAGAAAATAAACGGGATTGTATACCAGAATAACATTTGGAATAAAAAAAAAGGTTATTTGGATTGTGGGCGAAACAGGAGAGGACGAGTCAACGCTTTCAAAAAAGGAGATTTGAGGTTGTAATAATCCTGACACGTAGTTTGGCGTTTTTCGCCTCTCGAAGTGCGTCACAGGATATACTGTAAAGGGTAGTCGTGACGATGCCTTTTGGTAGGCAAACGAGGACGTTGGCGCGATAGGGCGCTTGATAATATTAGGAAGATTTGAAATAATTGTCGCCGTGTGTCACTTTGTTTCCAGGTCAGAGGTTTAGAGTTGGGCCTTCGAGTTCATAGTCTAAACCGACACTCCGAGGGAAATGGTGCATTGTCAGAGGTACTATCCTTCGGATGAGATGTTAAGCCAAGGCGCCCTCTGCCTGGTCATTTGGATGGTAAAGAACCTGTGACCCTTTTTGAAAAAAGAAGGGAGTTTCTCCTGGCAGGAATGTCCCACAAATGGACATGAATAGAATAATAATAAATAATAATAACCCTTGTATTTGAAATAGCGCTCTTCATGTCTTCGAGACGTCTCCTCTTAGCCAATACTCCTGTTAAATTGGTCACGGGAGTCTCGTCACTCAGTGGGTAGAGCGCTCACCTCGCAAGTGTGAGACCCGGGTTGGATTCCCGGCAGGTCAGGGTGAAACCTTGGGCAAGTTTCCTTACTCCGCACGCCTGGTAATAATCCCTCAACAGAAAAAAACATTAATTATTTGGTCACTTCAATCCTGTTTGTGTGGGGGACGCTGCTGTGCGCAATTGGCAGCCGCGTTTCGCCCACAAACTATACGGTCAATTCACTTTACAGTCTTTTCTGTGAAGGGCTTTGAGACGTCGAGAAGACGTGAAAAGCGCTATTTCAAATACAAGGATTATTATTATTTATTATTGTTCAATTCATGGCTATTTGTGGGACATTCCTGCCATGTACGGCCACGTATTGGCTGCCATGTATGCCTACAAATACAGTCACTACATTTCACAGCAGTCGCTTTGAATCATTTTGACATGACAGGACATCATATCAGAAGCAAGGTTTATCATTACTCGAGTGAATGCCGGTTGTGCTCTCGTTCCCGCAATTGCAATTGGATGGGAGATGCATCCAATATTCTGAGGAAAACAGATTATTTGAGGGAAATGTGTGAAACGTTCACAAAACATATCAGAACCAGACAGAATGCATCCAAAAGTACTCGGCGGAATGATGTGTGTGAATAGAGGAAACAATGGAAAATAAAAATGCCAGAGAAGGAACTTTGCATTTTTAAAGCCCATTATCAATACCAAAATGTTTCAAAGCGCCCGCCTCGACTCACTGACAAATGACTTTTCCGTAGGCACAGTCTATTAAACGACAAGGTCTCAGCTGATCGCAAAATCTAAAAAAAAACGGGAAGTCGGAAAGAGTCATAGATCTATTAAATGAACGTCCCTCCGTTCCTCTGGCTCCGGTCTGCTCCACATCCCCCGCCCCAACCGCCCTACCATCGGTGGCCGGGGCTTCAGCCTCTCAGCCCCGAGGCTCTGGAACTCCATCCCCAGTGCCTTCGCCGCCTCCTCCCTTTCCTCCTTCAAGGCCGGTCTCAAGATCTTTCTCTTTGACCTTCAGCCTTCAGCTCCGCTCTCGACTCTCTACCCCCTCCTCGCTCCCTCCCTCCCCTCCCCTCACCCTGACCATTTCCCCCCTCCTCGCTCCCTCCCTTCCCTCCCCTCACCCTGACCATTTCCCCCCTCCTCGCTCCCTCCCTTGCCTCCCCTCACCCTGAACATTCCCCCCTCCTCGCTACTTCCCTCCCCTCACCCTGACCATTCCCCCCTGCTCGGGCCCTGACCCAACTGTGCAGCGCTTCGGGACGTCCTCCCGACATGAAAGGCGCTCTATAAATGGAAACTTGTTGTTGTTGTTGTTGTTGTCCATAGTATTAAAAAAACAAGTAAACTACTGCACTGTAATGGCAAACTGCAGTATTATTGAGTTTCCAAAAGCGAGGTCACACGTGATAACCTTTTGGAACTCTTTATGGATTTAAGAAAAAGCGGGTGACTGTGATGCGGTGGATATTGAACATCTTGACTTTTAGTAGACATTTGATAAGGTACCTCGCAGGAATTCGTTCCTAAAGTTAAATACCTTGGGATGAAGTATATGGCTGTGAACTGGGCCGTGAATTGGTAGATAATAGAAAGCAAAGGCAAAGATCGATGGCTGTGGTTTTAATTGGACGGAGTTGTTCGACGCACATCACTTTATGACCCGGGCCAATAGAACAGTGAAGAAATATGCGCTAAAAATTGTGGGGAAACTTGAGAGAAAGAGAGAGACTCACACAAACACACAGAAGAGACAGAGACACACAGACAATCTCAATCCGGGGGACTCCGGATGGAGTGAAGCCCATTTACCGATGGCACCTCACACCCACGACCAGAGCCGCACAGCACACGGGAATTTCTGTGCGCAGTTGGCGTACGTGGAACTCAGTCTGGTTTGGATCCCTCTTCAACCCAGTGATGGGTTTCCGCGTATTGTCAGATAACTGTCAGACCAAAAAATTCTTTTTTGCCTGCTAAGCCACTTATCAGGTCATCTTACATAATAATAATAATCATAATAATAATAATAATAAATGTATACAATATATTATCATAAACTTCCTGGTTTTTGCAGCGCCAGCATCTCGGGCCAGGGCAGCTGATGTACGATCACCACGCTGTAAATTTAATTTAATAATAATAATAATACCTCCCGCCGTAAAAAGGTGCGATACGAATGTAATTTTGCTGTTGCTGCATATAAGATTGCGCCTTATCACGACTTTGCGACGTCTCAAAGCGCTTCACAGGTTATACCGTAAAGCGAATTGACTGTATATTTTGCGGGTGAAACGCGGCAGTCAATTGCGCACAGCGGCCAAATTATTATTATTTGTTGGAGGGATAATTACCCCACGGTCAGCCATCCGCCAATTGACTAACAACCCGGCTCCTACTTACTGGTAGGCAAACAGAGGCGCGTGGGGTAAGGAAACTTGCCCCTCCCGGGAATCAAACCCGGGTCCCCTCGCTTGCGAGGCGAGTGCCGTAACCACTGAGTCTTCAGGACAGCGCTTTAAATTTACTTGATGAATTTCGAGTCAATTCCCTGTGCAATCCGCTTTCCTTCAGATGATCCTCGGTCTCCCTCCCCGAGATCGATTTGAAAAGTCGGGAAAGTGTTTTCGTTTTGCAGCAGCAGGTACATAAACATTCGTCCATTACATTACATTACATTAAAATAAATGTACGGTAATATATAATACGCTAATATATAATAATATTATTGTCCTCACCCTCCTCGCAAGCCCCTCCCTCATTGCCCAGCACCTTGGGACGCTGCTTTGCGCAATATTTATAATAATAATTATTGCGCACAGCAGCGTCCCCCACACGAACAGCCGTGGATCGAGTGACCAGAAATGCTGTATAAACGCACAAGAACAAGAGCCAGACTGGGCATTAGGTTTTTTTTGCCTTCCCCGCCCCCCAAACAAAAACAATAACAATAAATTGGGTCACTTCAATCCACGAACCGTATGTGGGTGGGGGGCGGGGACACTGCCGCGCTCAATCGTCCGCTGCCTTTCGCCCGCAAACCGCACGATCAATTCGCTGGGCGGGGAACCCAGTGGAAGCGCTTTGAGACGTCTCGACGCGAGGATTATCATTATTATTTATTGATTTGTTTATTAATTATTGTTGTTGTTGTTGCCGGCGGTGGCAGTGGCGGTGCTGGGATCTCTCTCGGGGTGTCACAAGAAGTGGGTGGGGGTGGGGGGGAGGGTTAGGTACAACAGGGAGTCCATATAAAAACCAGCTAAAACCACCTCCAGTAAGTAAGTCATTAAAGGAAGGCAGCCTGTGAGTTGATCTGCAATGAGTAGCGACCTACATGGGAGATTTAACGCGGGTTCCATGGTCAGCTTCAGTTCCTGATTTGAGTTAATCAGTGAGTAGCTCTCTCGGCTTGAGCGGAGCCGCAAGATGGTTGGGTGGATGGTGTTGGGTGGGTGGATGATAACATCCTGTCCACAAAATCCTTTCTCTTTGGTGTTTGTGTTTCCAGCAGCAGCAGCAGCGGGAAGAACAGGAACAGGAGCAGCAGCAGCAAGAGGAGGAGCAGGAGCAGGAAGGAAAAAAATAGGAAGAGAAAGTGGAGGTAGGGAGACTAGTTATCATGTTCAACTGCATTTAAGAATAAACCAATTGTGTGTGTCTGAGTTTGAAGTGAAACCGGTTGCTTGCAGCTCTCTCTGGCTTTGTTGCAGAGAGATATCTATTGGTATCTGTATATAGAATCTACAGACACACAGCTGCTTGTTATATATATCTACAATGTGTGTGTGTGTATATATATAACAAGCAGCTGCGTGTGTGTGCGTCTGTTTGTGTTGGCAGCGAAGACACTGAACTGCTCAGAGCACAGCAACCAAGAGGCAGAGAGTCAGACAGACAAGAGAAAGAGACAAGAGTCGGCGAGACAAGGGACACAACCAAAAGAGGTCATCAGAGCCTGAGCCACAGTCAGACGACTGCTGGAGTGAATGTACTCCCATTACTTTTGTGCATTCGCGACTGATTCGCGCACGGCGACCGCCTCCCCTCCCCATATCCAGCAGCACAAGGCTCGTTTAATTTCCTGCACATGTTCTCGAGGCTGTTCTGAGGCCCACACATGGAAAGAGAGAGAGAGAGAGAAGCACTGAGCCTCACCGATCGACAGAGAGAGAGAGAGAGAAAGATCCTGGTTTGGGGTGGGGGGAGGTGTTCCGCACGGGTAGACTCCTGTGCCGTAGTGATTGGCGAGCTCATATCGCAAGTCAGAAGATCCGGGTTTAATTCCCGGGGGAGGGCAAAGCCTCAGGTAGAATTCTAGTGAGTAGGAAGCCGGTCGTTAGTCAATTGGCGGTTCGTTTTCCGGGGGGTAATAATCCTCCGAAACAAAAAAAAAACGGTCACTCAATCCGCGGCAGCGGGACACTGCTGTGCGCAATCGGCTGCCAGGTTTATCGGGTATTTTTTTTGACGCAGACGAGGCCGTGGCGTTTCGCCCACGAAATGCGCAGTCACATCTCTCTGCGGTGTGTCGTGTGAAGCGCTTTGAGACGTCTCGAAGACGTGGCGAGGCGCTGTATCAAATGCGAGGCTTATTACGAAGCAAGAGGACCTGGGTTCAGTTCCCGGGCCGGGCGAAACCCTTAGGCGATTCCTCGCTTCAGATGCCTGTTTACCTCACAGTAAGCAGGAACCCGGTTGTTAGACGATTAATGAATCGCTTTCCGGGGGGGGTAATAATCCCTCCCCCCCAAAAAAATAATTTGATCACTGAATCCACGACTGTTTGTGGGGACGCTGCCCTGCGCAACTGACCCCCGCATTTCACCCATAAAATATACGGTCAGTTCGCTGTACAGTATATCCTGCGAAGCGCTTGAAGACGTCTCGGAATACCGGATAAGGCGCTACATCAAATGCAAAGATTTTTATTATTATTCTGTTCATTTATTATAAGTATCGGCCGAAGGCAAATATAAGGCGCGAGAGCAACGTCAGCCCATTTGACGTCTGTGAGACGGGGAAAGGGATGGATGGATGTTTTAAAAGGGGGCAAAAAATATGGTTTGCGATTGAATAAATGGGAATTATGTTAACAAAGAAGCCTTTTGGTGGAGCAAGTCATGATCTGTGAAAATCCCATAGGTCTGCAATCTGAAGTCCCCAAACCTTTGGGACGTCCTCCCGACGTGAAAGGCGCTACGCAAATATAATTTCGTTGTTGTTGCTATCTTTCCTGTACTATAACTTTTAAAATATGGAGTCCTGTGGCTCAGTGGTTAGAGCACTCGCTTTGCAAGCGAGAGACCTGAGTTGAATTCCAGGCAGAGGGCGAAACCTTGGGCAAGTTTCCTTACTCCACACAGAGCCTAATAATAGTCCCTCCAAAACCAAAAACAATAATAAATTGGTCATTTTCAATCCGCGACTGTTTGTGGGACATTGCTGTGCGCAATTGGCCGCCGCGTTCGCCCACAAATATACAGTCAATTCACTTTACAGTGTGTTCTGTGAAGCGCTTTGGGACGTCCTCCCGACGTGAAAAGCGCTATATCAAATGCAAGGATTATTATTATTATTATTATTAAATACCCGGTCTCCACCATCAGATGGAGCTATCACTAGTTTTTAAAGAAAAACTTGGGATGGCCCTGAGTTATAAACACAGTATTTTTTATGACCCCCCAAACACCCAGAATATTAGCCGCGGTCAGGTTCGGAACCGGCTATTTTTTGTTTGAAATAAAAAATACATCTTTTTTTTTTTTCCCCGCCAGCGCTAATCCGCGTTGGATGCGTTGACGAGCGGTTACACCTCGGGGCAGGCATCGGTAATGTTTTTGTCTCTGGAGTGGCCCTCTCTTCACTGATCGAGAGCAGACGTTCCTTCCTTCCCGCCGTGCGCGAGAGTCGTCTGCTCGCCACCCTCCCCTGCCTCTGAGCGCGCCGTGGATCGTGCTCCCGCACTCGTGCGCTCGAGGCCAAACGCCGCTTCTCCTGCCCTCCGCAGCACTGCCTTTGCTCGTCGGCCGCCGTGGGCAATAATTGGCGGCCGCCTTTTGCCCGGAAAATACGCAACCGCTTCGCTTTCCAGTGTGTTCCCCGAAGCGGGAGACGTCTCGGCGACGGGACGCGGCAACTGTAATAATAATAATAATAATAATAATAATCCTTTCATTTGATATAGCGCTTCTCACGTCGGGAGGACGTCCCAAAGCGCTTCACAGAACACACTGTAAAGCGAATTGACTGTATATTTGTGGGCGAACGCGGCAGCCAATTGCGCACAGCAATGTCCCACAAACAGTCGTGGATTGAAAATGACCAATTTATTATTGTTTTGGGTTTTGGAGGGATTATTAGGCTCTGTGTGGAGTAAGGAAACTTGCCCAAGGTTTCGCCCTCTGCCTGGAATTGGACTCGGGTCTCTCGCTCGCAAAGCGAGTGCTCTAACCACTGAGCTACAGGACTCCACCGTATTCGAGTACGAGGACTAGTACCGTCGCGGTTATCTTCTACGTGTCACTGAGGCGGCCTCTTATTTATTTATTTTTTTTCAGGTCGCGTTAGCCCCGCGGTGAGCGGGCGATTTTGAAGATGGATGAGCTGATCGCTGAGCTACAAGAAGAAACGGGAAACTTCTTAGCTGACGATGAAAGCGCTGAGGTCCGAGGTTTATGTCCCGAGGTTAAGCTTCCGCTCCCAGAGAGCGTGCTGCAATTCCAAAGTACGGATAACTCGGGACTCGAAATCATTCTGTTGGTCGCTTTTCGCTCCTGTCGCAATGGGATTAGTTCGTAAGGGGCAATGTTTGATCCAGAACCGTAGCTGCTGCGGGTTTGGGGAAATCATCCCACCCTGCCTGTAAACTAGTGAAATGTATCGTCCGGCGCAATCCAATCGTGGGGGGAGGAATACGTGTTATACCATATTATACTAATTATCAGCTGCTGTTGAACGGTCACCTGAGGAGGGGGTTCTTTACCCACTTTAATTATATTGCGACGCTGCCGACGTGGGCCACTCTGCCTTCTTCGAAGGGACGCTCCGCCTGGGCAAAATGTTTCTTCCCAGTTATTTAGATTTTTGGACGGTTCACGTAAAGCAAGTACCGGCCAGGTTCAAGCCGTCCTAAGTATCAACCTATCTCGGGAGTCGACTCATTTATTCGGGATGTATTATCGCCGATTCAGCCGATTTAAAAACGCACCTACCAGCCCGTGCGTATTTAGCGGTTCTGCGGGTATCGGGCGCACACAAGGGGGGAAAGAAAGCACTTGAGGTTAGATTTGGACCGGCTGAAATGCTTTAAAACATTAACTCTTTTATATATTAAAAAAAAAATACTTCTGCGACCTGCAGTTCATAGAAGCACAAAACAGAGGAGCTTCCGGAGGACTGCGAAAGTCTGTCTGGATTACATTCGCGATGCTTTACTTCAGCACCAGTGGCAGAGAGCGGCAGACCTGATGGTGAACTTATTCGAGATCTTAGAAGATTACGGTGGCAACGCACAGAAGACGACTGCCATTGAGGTAAACGGTGTCCTAGACCACAGCTCCGCTGGGTGTCAAATAAATGCCATGGTTTGATGAATGGATTGCAACCCACATCCAACCCTGTCCTCGTCTGAAATCCGCATGTGCACCATCGTTAATGTTTTTTTTTACACACAGACGTCAGCAGCAGCCACGCTGTTTGATTCTCTTCCTACTCCCCTCCCCGGATTCCTGAAAGCAAATATGGCCTCCAAACTGCTGCACCAGATGAATGAGACCTACAAAATATGGCTTCTGATTTTTATAGCTTGGTGCTATAAGTAGCTCATTCTGTAATTTGATACAGGCTACATACGTATGTGCGTGTGTGTATATATGTATATATAATATGGATATGGATATGGATATGTATGTATATATAGTATATGTAAGGACATGTATATACATGTGTATATGTGTATATGTATGCATATATATATAATATGTATGTATACATATATATACATATATATGTATGTATATGTGTGGAGTCCTGTATCCCAGTGGTTAGAGCGCTCGCCTCGCAAGCGAGAGGACCTGGGTTCGATGCCAGGGCAGGGCAAAATGTTGAACAAGTTTCCTTACTGCACACGCCTCTGTTTACCCGGCAGTATGTAGGAACCTGGATGTTAGTCCGATTGGCAGATCGCTTTTCCGGGAATAATAATCCTCTCAGGAAACAAAAACAATAATAATTTGGTGACTTCAATCCACGGCTGTTTGTGGGGACGCTGCTGTGCACAATTGGCTGCCGCGTTTCGCCCACAAAATATACACTCAATGCTGGAAATCTGAAACAAACAAAAAAGGAAGACATTTCAGCTGCTCTGGTGCGAAAGGTGGCACCGTCAGAGCAGATGCGGAGGAGGAACTGGGAAAGGGAAATGGAGTCTTTACAGGTGGGAGGAGGTGCAGTCCAACTAACTGGACCTACCTACGCCTTTCACTTCACAGTATATTCTATGAAGAGCTTTGAGACGTCTAGAAGACGTGATAAGGATTATTATAAATATATATATACATTGGATTTAATTCAGCCTTATTAAGTATGTAAACGGATGCTGAATTTAGTTGCGTACCCCCCCCCCCCCCCCTAATTCGTATTAGAACTGGAATTGCAGAAGAACGACCACTTGCATTTACATCATGCCCCTCGCGGACAGCAGGGTCCCGAAGCTCTTCAATTTATCGAAATGATTAACTAAACGTATCCTTCGTTCCAGGAGTTTTGCTGCAGGGGGCACTGCAGCTCTCTCAACGACACTGTCGAGATTTGTCGTTTCAATTTGTTGTAAGTGTAAGGAAAGTGCGCTGGCCAGAAAGCCATCCATAAGGAATCAGTTGAAGAATTTAACAGAGGTAGTTGAGGAAGAAATGGTTTAATAACAATTCTTGCATTTGATATTATAGTAATAATAATCCGCGCATTTGATACAGCGCTTTTCACGTCTTCTCGACGTCTCAAAGCGCTTCACAGAATGTGCTGTAAAGTGAATTGACTGTATATTTGCGGGTGAAACGCGGCTGCCGATTGCACACAGCAGCGTCCCCCACAAACAGTCGTGGATTGAAGTGACCAAATTATTATTTTTTTTCCTTGAGGCATTATTATCAGGCGTGTGGAGTAAGGAAACTTGCCCAAGGTTTCACCCCCTGCCGGGAATCGAACCCAGGTCTCTCGCTTGCAAGGCGAGTGCTCTAACCACTGACCTGCAGGACTCCATGCCTCCACAATAAAGCGTCTTATCACGTCTTTGAGACGTCTCAAAGCGCTTCACAGCGTGTACTGTACTGTGATGTATTTTTTGTGGGTGAAACGTAGCAGCCAATTGCACACAGCAGCGTCCCACAAACAGTCATGGATTGAGTGATCAAATTGTTATTATTATTTTTGCAGTTGGAACACAGAAAGGTGGGATTAGGAGCAGTTTGTAGTTTTAAAAAAAAAAGTAAAAGAAAAAGAGACAAACACTTGGGCGGCAGAGGTTTTAAGGTGTACCTGGGAACAATAGCAGGTACTTTGGCCAGTTTTAAAGTCTATAATAATCCCATTATACCTGATCTCATTATAGTTGATTTATTAGCTGAATAACTTGCTGAATTTGTTGACTGAATCCACCTCCCTGCATTGACTTCCACTGGAAATCTCATGTGACACCTTGGCTCAGTGGAAAGCACCCTCAGTTCTGAGTCCGAAGGTTGTGGGAACTTGTAGGTTATGCTCGTGCTCCAATACACAGTTGGAGGTGCCATCCTTTCGGAAGAGACATCTGCCTGTTCAGGTGGACGTTAAGATCCCACGGTGCTATTCGAGAGGAGAGTTTCTCCTGGTATCCTGGCCAACATACGTCGGAGAAAATCCAATTGATGGCTAGTTTGTGGGACATTGCTGTGCACAAATTGCTGTTAAATTTGCCTGCAAAATACACAAATCACTGCACGCTGCAATAAATCCTAAGAGCTTCAGGACGTCCTCCCAGTTTGAAAGGTGCTGTCATATCAAATGCAAGGATTGGAGTCCTGTAGCTCAGTGGTTGAGCACTCGCTTTGCAAGTGAGAGACCTGAGTTCAATTCCAGGCAGAGGGCCAAACCTTGGACAAGTTTCCTTACTCCACACAGAGCCTAATAATAATCCCTCCAAAACCAAAAACAATAATAAATTGGTCATTTTCAATCTACGACTGTTTGTGGGACATTGCTGTGCGCAATTGGCTGCCGCGTCCGCCCACAAATATACAGTCAATTCACTTTACAGTGTGTTCTGTGAAGCGCTTTGGGACGTCCTCCCGACGTGAAAAGCGCTATATCAAATGCAAGGATTATTATTATTATTATTATTGTCATAAAGACCAGCCAAAACTCGCTTCATTTATGACCCTTCCAACACAATGACAAGCAGAGAATATTGTGAGTAGAAATGGTTTCCATTTGTTGTGCCAGTTTATGGCATGAGACAAAATGTCCTGTGACCACATCGTTATCTATTTCCTTGTAAAATAATTGTTAGCCCGCAGAGATTTTCTTCACTATAATGAAGTTCTGAGTGTTGAAGATTAAAGAAGATTAGTTTGGGATATATATATAGGAGATAATTTTTCTTGTGTGAATCCCACTTGCTGCAGTACAGTAAAACACACATAAATTTGATCTGTATAAACCATAGAATTGCCTAAGCTGCACATCTGCCTAAGTCGCATTGAATTTTCGATTATTAATAAAGTTTCACATAACTCAGACTTTGCGTGTCATATTAAACGTATGGTCCCAACTGATACGACTTATGTGAGGTTTACTGCATTAATCAAAAGCTGACTTGATCATTGTCTTCCTCTTAAGATCATTTGGAGACTGGGATCTGAAATCCTGCACAATCATCCCAGGAGCACCGTGGAAGATGTCATTTCATTTTCTAGCAAAATGAAACTCACTGGAGTGAAAAACTACCTTCAGGTATCTAATTGTTATCTAACAGCGTCGGTGGAGTCCTGTAGCTCAGTGGTTAGAGCACTCGCCTCACAAGCGAGAGGACCTGGGTTCAATTCTTGGCAGGGCAAAATGTTGGGCAAGTTTCCTTACTCCGCACGCCTCTGTTTACCCGGCAGTAAGTAAAAACCCGGTTGTTACAGTCGATTGGTGGATCGCTTTTCCGGGAGTAATAATTCCTTCAACAAAAAAATAATAAATTGATCACTTCAATCCACGACTGTTTGTGGGGGACGCTGCTGTGCGCAATCGGCTGCCGTGTTTCACCCACATAACACAGTCAATTCACTTTCCAGTATATTCTGGGGGTGGGGTCTGGGTGAGGTGGGGGTCGGGGCGGGCGATTCTTCAATCGGTTTACAAACATTCAAATTTGCCAATTCCTTCCATGACCGAGAGGGTAAACAACAACAGCAACATTCGACTTTGTATAATGCCTTTCACGTCAGGAGGGGACGTCCCAAAGGACGTCTGAAGAAAAACCGCATTGCAGGACTAGGCCATGCGGACCGACCGGAGGGTGCAGGTTTGTGTCGGGTGATCTGAACCGTGGTTTGCAGTTCTAATTGAACTCGAGATCCTTGTCTTCGGAAGAGGAGAAATCAGCCTGGATTCCCAATCCTGTAGCAGGAAATTCCACCTGGGTCTAGATTACAATATTATTATATTTATAATATTATAACAATATATAATATTAATATATTATTAACAAAATTATAATAATTATGGAATTTCTCCCTCTGTCCCACCACCCACCACCACCACCACTCCTCCCCCCAATCTCTATCCAGACCCTTCTGCTGGAAATTTTTCCACTGTTTCCTTTCGGAAAGTTTATAAATCTATAAACTAACACCCATTGAAACGAACACCGAATAGGAAATGTTTGTGCAAAGTCTTGGCTCTTCGCTGCGTCCTACCTGACATTGGCATGCGCTGTCGCCGCATCGTTGTGAAATAGAATTTTTTGGGAAAATGGACAACTTTGCTGGATAAAGTTCTGTTTAAGCACCCCGTCCAGACTGTGCAAAAAGGTACAGTTAAAAAGGGTGGATCTCGCAAGATGTTCTTCTGCAGTGCCGTAAGCAAAACCTGCAAATATGTTAAATATTATATTTCACTCTCGTCCTCCTCCAGTAATTTGTCCTGGTCATATAACAGATGGTCGTCGTGTCCTCCTTGACCTCGGTCCCGACAGAGAATGTTGCTGTCCAATAGAATAAGAACTGGCAGACAGAAGCGTAGATGGATGGAATGATAAGTTTAGATTGTGCCCAGCTGGATAGAGGAACCGAAGCGAGAACAGGTTGGGTAAATGGACAGATGTTGACTGATGCAACACAAGGACAAAAGAACGAGGAGGATGTATTGCTTGAACTGTGGCAAAGTTTGCTTCCCTTCCGCTGCTTGTCTTTTAACATTTGCTCGGCTGCATTCTTTGTTTCCCTTTCTCGCGGCTGACAAATGTGGACTGTGAAATTCCTCCCAAGGGTCAGGGTAATCTTACTCAATTTTCCGGACAAAGTAGTCGCCTTCTACCTTTCAGATTAGGACTGAGTCCAAGCCTATGGACGTCCGCTCAGCGGTGTGAATTTAACTGAGCCGTTTTGATTTGTCTGTATATGTTGGCTCCTACACGTTTCTCTGTGGCTCTCGGTAAGGTGCCTCCTTGGCAAACTGCAAGTCCCAATGACCGTTGTACATGCTGCAGACACACACCGTCATTGCAAAAAAACAAGTCACGTTTGCTCTAATACCACTTAAGGGCAATGTGCACGAGGTCCACGGTGTGTCTGAGGAAAACATAATTAATACCCCGCCGTTCATTTTTCTTCTCTTCCCCCCCCCGCCACCCCCCAACTGATGTTCTTCCCTCCTCACCTAAAGATGGAAGGTCTTGGCGTTGGAGTCCACAATAACTGAGTGCCGCCCGGCACCTTGATGAAAAGTTCCGGTGCTTTTGCGAACTAAGAAAGTGAGTTGTCAGCAGGCCGTTTAGGGCTGCTGTTGCATCGAAGCCTGATTCTGTCCACGTACCCTTGCTTTCCATCACGGTGACTTGATAAACGATGGGGTTGGGCTGATTTCAATCGGCCTGCTCATAATTTGCTTGTTCATAATCGACACGCTCGTCTGTCTGTCTCATCAAAGGAGACTTTGAGGTGAGGCTGTGTCCTCCACCGCAATAGCCTCGAAGAGGTAATGATTAATAGTTTGTACGGGTAATCTCTGCAGACATCTCTTCTCATAAACACATATCCAGTGCTGGTGACTGAAGGGGTTGTGGAAACGTTGAGTAGCTGGTATCACGTGAATGGATCTATCTCCATTCGTCTTTAAGTAGGTCTTTTCTGTCAGATAGTAATCCTGACTCGGGCATTCTTCAAAGAGTTGGTGAAGCAGCCTGTATTACTGTCGCTGAATTTCTTGCTGTGTGTGTTTTTTTTTCCCCTTTTCCTCCAGAAATGCTTGGAGCACGTTATTTACCTTTTGTACAACGGCATGTTGAATGAGGCTTACTTGGAACTGTCCAATGCCGAAACGTGGCGATATGGAAATATATCGTCGTCTCAGAGTGAACTGATTCCGTTCATTCAGGGCTATAAGGCATTGCTTGATTACTGTACATGGAGTAAGAAGTACGAAGAATGTAAAAAGAGAGGTAAGCGACCGTTTTATAACAGTCAATTCACATTACAGTGTATTCTGTGAAGCATTTTGAGATGTCTCGAAGACGTGATAAGATGCTATACCAAATGCACGGATTATTATCCTTATTTGGGGTTTTACACTCTCGTGCAAAGGAACGGGGCTGAACTTTCTGCATCTGCTTGTACATAACTGCACTCTTTGTGAGGTTTATGTAAAAACAAATGGATCCCTTCCGCCCTTAAACCATTTCTGCAGACGATGATGATGGTGGGATTGTACCAGCTATGGGGTTTGAGCGCTTGCACTTGCGGAAAAGAGCAGTTTTGCATTTTTTAATTCAAAAAGACTGAAATAACGTTGCCTAAAGTTATAACTTTTATTTGTGTTTTTAACAACAGAAGAGGGTGAAATGGATATGGGCACAGAACAAGAGATGCACAACTATTTCCGGCAAGCCTCGATCGGACTAAATCAAACTCTACAACACCCTGGTGTGTGGGACCCCTTTGTTCTGAGTTATGTAAATGTAAGTTCTGTCCGTGCTTTTAGAACAACTGCAGTAAATGCTTTCGGCTTCTTTTGAGGACAGTTGTTTGCCGATTTGCCAGTTGCTGTGTTATTGTTAACAGAACTAGGGTTTGGAATCAGTATCCTCCTTCCTGACTTATCTGCACTGTCCTACCTGTGTTTAAATGAATTAGAAACCCGGTAAATAAAGTACTTATTTTTTTCTCTAATCGTCTTAACTATTGGCAACTTTTCCCTGTTTTTTTTTTTAATTTTTATTTCAGCTACTTGAATTCTATGATGGTTTCGATGAGGCCCTAAAGGTATTAGACAACTACGCTTATGACAGCAAATTCCCCGCGAACCCAAATGCTCACGTGTACTTGTATGAGTTACTGAAGAAGAATCAGTCCTCGCCCAAAAAAATGATCCGAGTACTGAAGGTAAGATAGTAATACATCCTTGCACTTGATGTAGCGCCTTATCACACCTTCGAGACCTCAAAGCGCTGCACAGGATATACTATAAAGTCAATTGGCTATATATTTGTGGGCGAAACGCAGCAGCCAATTGCCAATCCTACCAACAGTCGTGGATTGAACTGACCAAATTATTTTTATTATTTTGAAGGGATTATTACCCCCCCCCCCCCCGGAAAAGCTCTCCGCCAATCAACTAACAACCTACTTATTGCTAGATAAACAGAGGCGTGTGGTGTAAGGAAACTTACCCAACATTTCGCCCCCTGCCCGGGAATCGTACCCAGGTCTCTCGCTTGCGAGGTGAGTGCTCTAACCACTGAGCTACAGGACTCCACGCTTATCTGATGTGACGGCTGCATTTATTTCTCCAGTACTAACTAACTGGAAGGGTCTCCAGGACGGTGGGGGTGGAGGGGGCAATCACCCCTGATCGAACACATCCCTTCCAACAGAAAAAAGTTTTTCTTTTTACATCGTTTTACTCCTGGGTTCACCTTGAAGAGCTCTCCATTCTGCAGCTCAAGTTTGTTTTGCTTTTCTTGACATTTTTCGACTTCACAAGATCATGAGAGGTTCAGACGAAGAAAGTCCTTAGGCTTATTCAATAATACTAATCCTTGCATTTGATATAGCGCTTTTCAGACGTCTCAAAGCGCTTCACAGGATACGCTGTAAAGTGAATTGACCGTATATTTGTGGGCAAAACTATTTAGTCTCATCACATCAGAATACCATTCCTGGTGTGCTCCCATTACAGTATCAAACGGTTGGCTCATATGAGTCCAGGTGTCCGTAGCCTCCCAACGTCTTTTTCCTGGTAATTCTCCTGAAATTGCCCTTTACAACCCTGAACCCTATTCCCTCCTGTTCTGCTGCCTTGTCTCCGTGTGCAGGTTTACACCCTGTAAAATTCTTTCACACAACTTGCATGTATCAAAGGGCATTGTACTCTTGAGCCCAACAAGTGCTCGTCTAAAACATTGGTAAACTGAACAGTTTCCGTTTGACCACTAGATATTGTCTCAGATGGTTCCCTCTCACGAATTGATGTTGGATTTGAATTCACTCCTCGTGGAATCTTGTGAGTTGTGTTTTTTTTAAAAGCAAAAACCTTTTGAGAATTCTGGGGCTCTCGTGAAATCATACAACACAAAAGGGGGGGAAAAAAAAAGTTCTACCTGGGACTAGATTCACTTTATTTACGTAGCATTTCAGACCGTCCAGAATTTGGCAAATTGTTGAATTGTCTCGACTTTGAAGTCGCTTTTCTGCAGTTCTGAGAGGAAACGTTAAATCGTACAAATGGAACAGAATGAAGTCAAATGAAATTAGGACTGGATTTAAGAATTTGCATAATTTTGGATCCTTTGAAATGAAGTCCAATAGAGCAAACCTAGTCCCAGGTGGAATTTATAACCTCCGAATGTGCTAAAGAATGCATTTGTAAGAAATTTTGCTAATTGCCGTGTTTTTTTTCGGCGCGTAAAGAAATCGGTTAAGAAAATGGTGCGTTTTTAGACGAGTGCGCTGGGTTAAAATGTTGAAGAATCGCCTCCCTGTGTATGGTTTCCTGGACACGTCTATTCTGATTTATGTTTGTCTGTCTAGTGGATTGAATGCATGGACAGTTCTTGTGTTGAGGGTACTATAGGTCAGGTTGTAGAGCAGAACTGGCCTTGTCATGTTGAACGTACAGACTGTCAGGTTGGCAGTCTGCGCTGATTTCATGCTGTATTGACCTTTTCAGCAAAAATGAAGAATCGTAAGGAAGGGCTTGTTGTCCTCTTCAATCTACTGGATTTCCCCAGCTGGAAAGAAAACTACACTGTATGGAAGCGATTGATAAAACAAATGAAGTATGCAGTGACAGAGTGCGTACCTGTTTACTAAAGTGCCTCATACTGATGTGTACCGGATGATTCTCGTTTCCCCCGACCCCCACCCACACTACCCACACCACCACCCACCCCGATTAAAACGCAGTGATATGGGTCCACAATCTCCGAGCCTGAGTTATAAGGAGGAACGCTAAATAATAATCCTTGCATTCGATACAGCGCCTTATCATGACTTCGAGGCGTCTCAAAGCGTTTCATGGAATAGACTGTAAAGTGAATTGACTGTGTATTTTGTGGATGAAACGCAGCAGCCAATTGCGCACAGCAGCGTCCCCACAAACAGCCGTGGGACCAAATTGTTATTAAGACTTAATGGTCAACTTCTGGGTCTTTGCTGACGTTGCGTCCTTTGCCTGGTGTGCATACACTGGAAGTGACATCGGCGGCGATCTGAAGGACCGGAAGTTGGTGGGGTTTTTTAGCACAGGAAGCCCCAGTCCACGCTACTAGATAGAGGCGCAAGGCATGTCCGGTAACCACGGGTGCACTGGACATCCCCGTTGTAATTAAACTCACACTCCGGCTAGCTGAAGAGCTTGGAGACATTCTGACGTTATCGGCGCTGTGTCAAATGCGAGGATTATATTATTTATTACCCACGGTGGGTACCCGGGAGGGTTGAGGACAAGTGGCTCACCAAATAACCCAGTTTACAATCTCGAGGCGTGTTTTGAGACGGGGATTCTTGCGTATTCCCCGACAGGAGACACGCCAGCTGGATGGGAGAGCAGTGGCAGCTTCGGCAGAATTGGTGGCCTGCGTTCCACTTCAGTGAACGCCAAGCACGGAGGAATTTCGAAGCGAACGCGAGCTTCGCCTACAGGAAAGCAACGGTTGCTGGACTCCTCATGGGGAAAGGTAACGAGCCATCTTAAAAAAAAAGAGAGGAAATGAATGAATGAATGAACTTAAAACGAGTGCTACGGTGTCCAAACAAAGTCTGTGCGCGTCACCTTTAGGTTTTATGGCCGTAGGATTCCCACCCCTTCTCCTAAGCCCCCCACCCCCCACCCCCCCAGCTCCCAGAGTCCGGGATATGATGCTACAAGCAGTAACAACTCTCCAGCAGTTCTCCCCTGTGTGAGCTGAGGTCGTGGGTGTAGTCTTTGTTATTGTGATCGGACCCGTTTACGTCTTTCAATTTCTCCTCGAGTTGTCAGCAGTGACGTTTTTGTTCTGGAGAGAAAGGGGGAGAGAAAAATATTAAGTGAGCCTGACTGCTGGAAGAAACGTCTTGTTGACCCGCCAGTTCCCCAGAGACAAGGCCAAGGAGTGAGCGTTACTGTGGAAAGGGGGTCAGGGGTGGGGGGGGTGGGAGAGGGTGAACGGGTGGAAATATGGAACTAAAGCGCTATAGATGAGCTAGAATTGGACGGTGTCTGTCTGGGTTAGTCCCAGGTGTGATACCGTCTAATTCTGTTGTCTTTATGGGAATTTTTTGGGGGGAAAAAAACAGTGAGTTTACTTTGTCAGATTTTAAAAGAAAAAAAAGTTTTTCCAGCTGTAATAACTTGATCAATATTTCTGCCCGGAATGGGCTGCCACCCATTCCACATCCGGGTGTTGTCGCATCTCAAATCTTTCTCCTCTCTCGCCCTTTTTGAGGGTATTTTTCTTCCTGCTGTATTTCGAATAGAGGGCAGTGAGTGAGAGAGAGAGGAGATCTTTAAGATCAGGTTCGCTCTGATGGTTATTATACCTAACCAAATTGGGATGGAAAAGAAATTCACCGATCGGACTACAGCAGGAAGACAGGATGGGTTCTCCTCCCGGGAGCTGGAAACACAGAACATCGTCAAAGACATTACAATAAAAGCAGACCATCCCAAAACCTGAGCTCCTACAGGGGATAGCCCTGCGTTTACAAATGTTTTCAGCAGCCGTGCTTTCAAGGAGGGAGCCATTAATCCGGCTCCGGTGTGTGAATGTCGCTTTATTGTCAGGTATTGTGTACTTCCATTGGGGGTGTCAATCACTGCAGAATTTCATCCCGTGTGCACACTACCCAGCATTGACATTGTCGCCTGGCATCTGCCCAGCCACTGGGTTCATGCCAAGTAGTTTTAGTATGAATTGGCTGTCATAATCTGTGCCAGGAGGATTTGCAGTCATAATTCATGGGTTCCTAGAGCTCTGTATTTGTTGAGCGCTGTGCCAGGAACTCGATAGCAAATCCGTGACACAGCCCTTGCAGCATATTAGAGAGCTCTCCCCGTATGTAGGTTTTGATCAAAGCTAAAGTACAATTGTGCGCGGAATTGACGAGCGATTCCCACGTTACAGTTTTTGCACGAATAAATCAATCCGTTTAATAAGCGGCTTTATAGGTGCAGAAATCATTGCAATAATAATAATACTTGCGTTTGATACAGCGCCTTAACACGTCTTCGAGACGTCTCAAAGCGCTTCACGGAACATACTGTATAAAGTGTAGTGACTATATTTTGTGGGCGAAACACAGCAAGCCAACGGCGCACAGCAGCGTCCCCATACAAACAGTCGTGGATTGAATGACCGGCTTTGTGTAAAGGCTGACACTATGCACGTAATATCAGAGCTGTCTCCCCAATTTTATGAGAGCGGATACAGTATGGGAAATACAAGAGATTGTTCGACCCCGAAGTGCTGAACAAGGAACTTGGCAGCTCCCCTCTCATCGGCACAGCTTGCTTTTGCTCTCAGATCCTGACCCCCCTCCCCCTACCGCCCCCCCCCCACACACCATTAGGTGGGGTGCATCTTAGGTGGGCTACTTATTCCACTTCGGTCGCTTTGAAATTTTTACCGAGACTTTAACCCACCGCGACCCACGTGAGAGAGAATTGACAGCTTTTACTTTGCGTGAATTAGAAGCCGCCTTCAACCGAATTTCACATCCGTAAAGAGTTTTCTTGACGTATCCCCGAGAGTTACAGATGTTGTTTCTGCCTGTTGACCAGCGTAAACGCTGATGGCACTGTTTCGTCTAGTTTTCCAACTGCCGGTAAGGACACGCTTTAAGATCCCTTAAATATTCTGAAACGGGTGCAGCAACAGCAGAAAAGGAGCGTGAGGTGATTTCGAAAAAGGACCGAATGACCTTTGCTGCGAATCTTAAGGCCTTGAGCAAAACCCGTCGTTAACCTTGCTGCTGAGCAGATGTTAGTTTAGTCTGGGAGCAATTAAACCAAATTGTGCTTATCAGTGAGATCCGCTCACTTTTGTTTTTGTCCGTTCCAGATGCGCGCAGCCGAGTTCTGATGCCTGACAGCGGGAATATGATTCCCTGTGTATTTTTGTTCAATTAAAGCATATCTGGGTAAAACAAAACTCTTGTTTTACACAGATATGCTTTAATCGAACAAAAATACACAGGGAAGAATAAAGAAGCTGCATCAGGTTTAAGAAAATGGGAATTTTTCGAGGTTTTTTTTTTCTGGTCGTTTTTCTTTTAAGCAATATTTCTCGACTTTGAGAAATAACACAGCCCCAATGTCACCAGCTCCCTCTAACCCAATAAACCTAGATATTGCAGTGGAGTAATAATATTAATCATCCTTACGTTTGGTATAGCACATAGGACATTTCGTGTCGGGAGGACGTCTCAAAGAGCTTTACAGAATATACTGTAAATTACAGTGACTGATTTTATTGCTGAATGAGGCTTTGATAGCCTACGCACAAAGTCAAGTCAGTACAGACTGGAAACCTGGACCTTACCTATGAAACCATTTCTCTGAACTGTTTTTGGAACCACAATATTCTCTCTCCTCCTTCAGGTTGCAAGTACTTTATCACCGTTTACCGACTGGGACGAAAAGTTGAGAAACCAAAAATGAAGAAAATGAAGCAATACATAAAGGAACACAGTCTCAGAACACCAAGTGGCTCTTAAACTGCGCCTGTGTATGAAGATACCTTTACAGAACTTTTTTTGTTTCGGAGTTTCAAGAAAACTTCTGATAAGTTGGAATTTCAATTACTCGGGTTTGTGGACGTCAAATGGGCGCATTTTTGCTCGGCTGCCGAAGTCCGACCGGTTTGCGGGTGAACATTTTATAACATTGATTTAACGGTCCATTTCCAAAGTAGCCCTGACATTTGTTCAGCTTACCTGTCCTTGAAGATGAGACCGCAGTTCTGTCTGTGTAAGAGAGCGGACTGTACAGCTTTAATACAACGACATACTAATACTGATCAACGTGTAATTAAATAGCTTTTTATTACAACTGGGATATCGTATGAATCAATCTACCGGTTGTACTATGAACGTTGAATGATAACTCTTTATGTTTGAAAAGGCAGAGCACCCGAGGCCATATTCTGAACCAAATGATTGCTTCCCCCTAAAATAATCTTCGCTAATAATACAGAGGAGCTTCAAGTCTCGATCTGACCGGACACTGATTCTGAGCTGCAGGGAGGGGGAAGGTTTGGGAAATGTTATCCATAAGCAGGGAGAAGGTGAGGATTGAAGAGTGCAGCTGAATGAATATTGTGGAGTTTTTTTTTGCTAAATGACCTGTGACGTCACAGTGTCTTTGCAGAACTTTTGCTCTGGGCAGATAGGTAAAGACCACAACAGGGTAGGTTTTGTATGGAAGAAGCAAGCTTAAAGGGTTGAATGGCTTTTCTTCTTCCGTGCTTTGTTCCAGTAAGTTCTAATGGAAGTGTTTACGTGAAAGGGAAAAATAAAAGAACTGTCCAAAGCAGCGTTGTTATTGATTGCACGATGAACGGAATAGTGCCACATGCACAACCACCGGAGAGAAATTCCACTTGGCTCTATTGGAGTCCTGTAGCTCAGAGGTGAGAGCGTTCGCCTTGCGAGTGGGAGGACCTGGGTTCGATTCCCGGGCAGGGCCAAACATCGGGCAAGTTTCCTTACTCCACACACACGTCCCTATTTATCCAGCAGTAAGTAGGAACCCGTTGTTTGTCAATTGACGGATCGCTTTTCCAGGGGTAGCAAATTCTTCAAAAAAAATAATAATTTGGTCACTCAATCCCAACTGTTTGTGGGACGCTGCTGTGCACAATTGGCTGCCGTGTTTTGCCCACAAAATATACAGTCAATTCACTTTACAGTGTATTCTGCGAGCTCTTTGAGACGTCTCGAAGACGTGATAAGGCGCCCTATGAAATGCGGGGAATATTATTATTCACTCTATTTTATGCAGCAGTTTAGAGCATGCGGTATTTGGCAAATTTTCCAATTAGAGGCTTGGTTATTGAAGCGAGTTTTCTGCAAGTTGTTTTAAAAATAACTACAGAAAGCTCAGCCTGAATTCGACAACTTGTCAAAATTCTGGACACTTCTGAAATGCGAGGTAAATAAAGATCCAGGTGGAATTTCTCCCCACACGCCTGGCGAGTAAAGTTGTAGTTAATGATCGGAATTAAAAAGGCTGTAGTGAGGTCCTGCCAAAAGTGCTCAAGGTTATTTTCAGGCATTCTGTGTGCTAGTATAGGGAGGTGAGGACTGTTATGTTATAAAATGTAATGTAGGAACAATGCCAGTACCAGTTGTCCTAAGTTTCCCTCCACTATATTTACACTGTCTTGTTTGCCACATAAAACCACGGTGCAAACTGTGACCACAAAACTCCAGACTTTTTCTTTTTCGCGTAAATATTTGGGTCGTTTTGAGCTTGGCAACATCAAAAAAAAAATAACCAATGCATGAATCTTAGCACTGGGTCTCCTAGCACCAGACTCTGGGGATATATATATGTGTGTGTGTGTCTGCATACAAGTCAGGCTCCACACATTGCTATTGTTTAACCTCTTCCCCCCTCCCACCATTCCCATCTCCTCCTCCTTGTTCTCCTCCTCCTCCTAACCTGCTCCACTTGAAATCCTTCAAAAAAAAAAATGCCTCCAGCGATTGGGTGTCACCAAATAAGTGAGACAGACAGAGACGTGAGCGGTTGGTTGATTGATTGATTGAGTCGTTGCCTCCACTTTGCCTCACAGGCTGAGGACGCACGGGTCTGGCTCTGGAGAGACCAGAAAGGCGGTTAGTATTGGCCCAGCCAGTCAGTGTGGGTGTCTGCGTTGGCAGGTGAATGGTGCAGGTGGTGATGACAGCCAACCTGGATCTGCTTTTCTCCCAAGGTTTGAGGGTGTTTCTCACCAGCTCGAACTCCTGGACCAGCCGGAGTGAGCCAGAGCTCAGCAGCATCTCCTTGGCTTGGCTGCTGGTGTTGGCAGCCCTTCTCCCCGTGCCTGATGTCTCTGGGCACCCCCAGTGCTTGGATTACAGACCCCCCTTCAAACCGGATTCCCAGCTGGACTTTTGCTCCCAATACGATGCCATCGGTTGCTGCGACCAGCAGAGAGATGCGGAGGTGGCGGGGAGGTACCGGAGAGTGGTGGAATGGCTTCACCTGAATGGAACTGACCCATGTGGAGTGTTTATCAAAGAGATTCTGTGTCAAGTAAGTGAGTCAGTCCTGGCCTTGCATTTGCACTTAACTTCTTAAACAATCCCACAGCAATCGATTCCTGTCTCTTGATTATTATTTTTTTTATTCCTTTATTAAAAAAATCTATTTCTGGTCAATACTTGTTGGAAGATATTCATCAATTGCCCAGCGAATACAATGTCCAATCATTTCGAGATTAAAGTTTTCTCCGGTTTAACTTTTTCTGTGCCATTTCTCCCCCACCCCGTCCCCCGAAATGTATTCCTGTTGGGGATAAAAAGAATTGGGAGATCAATAGAATTAATTTCAGGCAATACTTACTATTGGCTGCAACATAACATACTGCGGAAAATGTGGTCGGATTTTTGCATAACAGCAAACAAAAAATGGATTCTCTTCACATTCCACAATCTATCAAACTACATATATCTGTATTTTAAAGACTAGATTTTCTTTCTGGCTTACTAAGATTTTTGGAAAGGAACATTTATTTGCGATAGTGTGTTCTTTGCAAGCTTACTGCAATTGTTCTCTAATGGATTCTCTACCTTTAAGCTTGAGAAGTCGTACATTTATTAAAATGAACGAGTGATTCACTTCCTGAAGGAAACAGTTTGACGACTGTTAGCCACTGTTTCAGATTTCTACGTAAGGGATTGATAAAGCAATATGTCCAACTGAACAGTACAAACTGGAGTTCACTATTGCTAAGTATTGTAAAAGTGCAGTAAACCTCACCCAGTTAGAGTGCAACTTGCTTCCGACCTAAAATTGAACCATTTTGCAATGGGTTTCACAAAGGAGAGGAAGCGTCAATATGGATTGAATGTGGTTTCCACATTGCAGAGCTGTCTTGAGGATTTGTTTCCAATTTGCTCCAATTACTTTGCAGTCCATCTTGTCTCCATGGGAGGTAAGTAATTAAACGGATGTCTGCTTTAGTTGCATCTGCTACCTCAAGACCATTCAACCTTATTTATGTGCGCTTCTTGTTTCTTAGTTCATTCATCTGAATTCTTATTGAAGAGAAGGCAGGAACTAAGCAGAAATGCTGGCAAAGTTCTTCAATTGTGTTCTTCGACAAGAATGGGGTATTCAAGCATGTTGACGTAGATAGACAATGACTTGCCATTAATTGCGGTGAGAAGAAAGAATCCTATTGATCTAAACATTTGTCCCATAAATAAAACCTGCAGTTGTCCTGTGTATCTTAACAAACTGGTCTGTTTCAATGGTACTTGCCTTATGTTAGTCAGTAAAAGGTTGGAGATACACTTGAATAGCTAGTGTGCACATTACTGCGCATTAATGTTCATTCGAGATGTCTAGAAGACGTGAAAAGGGCTCTATCGAATGCAAGGATTATTCTTTTCCATTCCACTCGCAAGGAAATATCCACGTGTAGTTTGCATGGCAAATGTGGAACTGCTCAGGCTAGTTTGGACATCCTTATACACGGTGATGGGTTTTCGCAAGTGTCTTAGACTCCTGGCTGCCCATGAAATAATTATATCATTATAGGACTTGATGTGTGGTGCAGTCTACTGGGGCTCGATCCAACTGATTTAAACGTCTGAGGAAAAGTTCTGCAAAGTCCTTCTCCCGAGAAAAGGAGAAAGTGACCTTAAAATTCCACGAGTCGGCAAATTTGAAAAAAAGGAGTTTGATTTTCCTGTTGTTTTGTTTCGCCCCCAAAATACACAGTCACTCCACTTCACAGTATATCCTGCGAAGCGTTTTGAGACGTCACAACGGCCGTGATAAGGCGCTGTATCAAAGGCAAGGATTATTCTTTTCTGGTCCGTGATCAATTGGAAAAGGCCCCGAAAGCAAAAAACTGCCGTCCCGATTAATTCAACGAATCCACTTGGTGAATAATGCATTTTAAAAGGCCCTCCTGTTACGACAGATTTCCAGGTGTGTTTTATGTCCTCCGCAGGAGTGCTCCCCCTACGCGGCACACTTGTACGATGCTGAGGATCCTCTGACTCCCATGAGGAAAATTCCAGGCCTCTGCTTCAACTACTGCTCCGAGTTTCACCTGAAGTGCCCTTCGTGTATCGGTGCGCTTACCGACAACAGGCGTGTCCGAGAGTCATGCGAGGTGGACAAGGCCTCCTGCTGTAACCGGCTCCAGTTATCCGATCCTGACTACTGCTTCCCCAACGTTCTGCAGAACACAGACCTGAACCAGAACCTGGGCTCGGCCCTGGAGAACCGAGAGGGCTGCCTGCAGCTCTGCCTCCAAGAGGCGGCCAATGGCTTGAGGAACCCTGTGCTCATGATCCACGCCAACGATGACACCCACCGTTACTTCGTGGCCGAGCAGCTTGGCTTGGTGTGGGTCTATCTGCCCGACCGCACCCGGCTCGCCGAGCCCTTCCTGGACCTAACGGGCCAAGTCCTGACCACCCCGTGGTTCGGGGACGAGCGAGGGTTCCTGGGGTTGGCCTTTCACCCGAACTTCAAGAAGAACGGCAAGTTCTACGTGTATTATTCTGTCCTGGTTGAAGGCGAGGTGGAAATAATCCGCGTAAGCGAATTGAAGGTCTCATCGCGTGACATGAACAAGGCAGATCCACGTTCAGAAAGGTACAAGGATAAACCGCTCGGGATCGTTCTCGGTGTTCCTCCCCCTGCACTGCTTCCGTGACTGTCTCTGCCAAATTCTCCCCCCCCACCCCACGTGGTGATTGTTAATAGCCGATTACATTGCTAATAGCTGATTCCACACGAGGGGAGAGGGCAAACTCCCACACTGGACCCGTGTTGCTTCCTTTTCAGGTGTTAACGCTGATATAACTCCACATTCAAAGGTTTTCGCGTGATGGGGAGTTGCAATTCTCTGAGAGCCGGTTTACAGGCGCTCGGAATATTTTTCATCGGTCGGTAGAGACTTGATGATTAAAGCCTCTGAGATAAAAAAAAATCCGCCTGAGCTACAGTTAGTTGAGACGTCTCAAAGTAAAATTGGATTTGTGTAGGGCTATACTGTAGTTAATTTCAGACTCAGGTACTATAAACTCTATATGAAAAGCTAAGCCATAATAAACAACTGCGACTTCCAGGATTCCAAACAATTATACAGCAAATAAGGTGGTCACCAACATGAATTTTGGTCACTGTTTGCAGGGGCAACAGATCTGCAGCAACATAATCAATGCTGATACTCTGATAAAATACTGTGAACTTGAATGAACTCGGTAAAGGCTGAGTCCTGGAGATTTCAGTGTTGCCTTTCTCCATCTTATTGTCATTTAAATAAAGCTGCTGTGAGAAGCCGAGCCTGTGTGGAGGGCGCTACGTACGTGCGAGTTGTTGCTACAACGCAATGCAAAATTACATTTGTAATGCGCCCTTTCATGTCGAGAGGACTTCCCAAGATGTTGAACAGTCAGGGATTAGGACCCGAGTTGGGGTGGGGGGAATAGCGCAGGCAACTGATACTTCAGAATTGTACAATTTTGAGATTCACTGACCTCCAATTGCTCATTAGCAGCTAAGCTTAATTACTATTTGTATAGAAAATGCACAAACTGGAATTTCAACTTAAAACTGATCTTCTCTGTGTAATCCGACAGGTATCTTCTAGAGATTGAGGAACCCGCAGCCAATCATAATGGTGGGCAGATCCTATTTGGCTTTGATGGTTTTCTCTACGTCTTCACCGGAGATGGCGGGAAAGCTGGAGATCCATTTGGCAGATTTGGAAACGCTCAAAATAAGTAAGTCCGACTCCAGAGGTCCGATAATTAGAGCCTCTGGATTCATACCGAGATAAATTTTGCCCCTCTCCTGAAACAGTGGTTTAAATCAAGAGTCCTTGAGGGGTAAAAAACAATGAAACGACCCACTGCATGTGGAAAAAGAAACCATTTTAGACTCTGTGGAAAAACAGGTATCGTGGGTGAGCAGGGATTTGGATGTTACGGAGAGGAGGCTTTCTGATTACCATAAAATTGGAGGTAAAGCACACTCTACCCCTGTAGACCATTGTGGACTGTGGTGGTTCAGTCAGATAACCTACCGACTGTATTATACCACCATGTAATCGGAAACCACTGAGAAGATACTGGACCAAGGAATAGAGACCGTAAACAGACTAATACAGAACTAATACACACACACACACATGCACGGACAACAACAACTTCTTTAAAAACATGTCTTTGAAACTGAGATGAGGGGAAATTGAAGGGCACATAATTATGGAATGTATTCGTGTACAGAAAAGACACAAATGGTTGCCGCAATTTTATTACCCAACTTTTACTTTGTTTGTTTTTAATCATCATTTTCAGGAGCGCTTTACTAGGAAAGGTTTTGCGAATTGACGTTGACAGAACCGGTCCCGGTGGAAAGCCCTACCGCATCCCGAGGGACAACCCTTTCGTGAACGTCCCAGATGCTCGCCCAGAGGTCTATGCTTACGGCGTGAGGAACATGTGGCGCTGCTCTGTAGACAGGGGGGATCCGGTCACGAAGCAAGGGAGGGGAAGACTGTTCTGTGGCGATGTGGGTCAGAACAAATATGAGGAAGTTGACATCATTGTCAAAGGAGGAAACTACGGCTGGAGAGCCAAGGAAGGATTCGAATGCTATGACAAGAAACTGTGCAAAAATTCATCATTAGGTCAGTACTTGAAGCCACATTTCCATCAATAGCAGAAATGAAGCCCTTTGAGACGTCTCGAAAGGCGCGGTTTCAAATGCAAGGATTGTTGTTGTTATTATTAATAAGAGTAAGCACAATTTCTATGAAGTAGTTCTACAAATTTTTCAGTAACGTGGCACAGTGTTTGTGGAGAACGAACTGTTTAGAAGGGCGAGTTTTCATGATAATATTTTGTAAGGCTTGGGAGTTCGGTGAGGGAGAAGATTCAGCAAATACGGCCCTAATTTTCGTGGTGATGGTGTCAATACAATTCACATTTATATAGCAAAGGCGGGAGGATGATACAAAGCCCATCATGAGCAAGTGATGTGACAACATGTTTCAATGTGATTTGTACCATTTTTTTTCCCCTTTGCAGTCTTCAGAAGGAACACTTTCCTCCCATTCTGCATTAGTCCAATTCCATAATTGCTCCAGTTACAACACACCGGTAACTCAAAATAGCTCCGCTGGTGTAAAGAACCAAAGTTATTACTAACCTGTGAAACCCACCTCCCTGCTGTTCAATCATGCCACAAACATCTTACTATGATCGCTGACGCTATCCATCCCACAGTCCCTCCGCCTCGCCCCTTCCATTGCCTCCTTCACGACCTGTCTCAAGACCCTCCTCGTTGACTGTGTCTTTGTGTCAACTTCTACCTCTGCTCTCCCCGCCCTCGTAATCCCAACCACCAGCTCGGGTGTGGATCTCTGACTGCCCATCACCTTGGGAAGACCTGCTAACGCTGTGCAAATGTGATTTGTTGTTGTCATTGACATTGGATCAACTTTATAACCAGGCAGAGTTCAAACTATATTCCACTGTAGTCAACAGAATGGATTTGCACAATTACATGATTTGCAAAAGAATACAAAATACTTTATTGAAAATAGTGGCACATTAATTTTTCTAATGTTGCCCAATGAGATACCTCATTCTGGCAATGCACAGATACCCTGAGCTGCTGAACACTCATCTGATGATACACTGGAGAGTTCTATCCCTTATCTGATATTCGGTGAAGAAACTTATTTAAAATATGCAATTTGATCTCTTTCTCTCTTTGAATGACAGACGACATACTTCCCATTCATGCCTACGGCCACAAGATTGGAAAATCTGTCACCGGTGGTTATGTCTACAGAGGGTGTGAATCGCCTAATCTAAACGGCTTGTACATTTTTGGAGATTTCATGAGTGGGTGAGTTATATTTAATCATCTTTGCATTTTGCCATTGACATAGAGTCCTGTCGTGCAGAAATATTACAAAGGGGTTCACGGCAGTCGCTGTTAAATTTAGTGAATGTGTATCTGAAGCTGAACACGGTAGACGATGGCACACAGCAATGCCCCACAAACAGCCAGGAGGTGCATTTAATTGGAGGATTGTGGGCCGAGATATAAAGAGAAACTCCTCCTCTTTTGAATTGAATAGGGTCATAGGTTCTTTAACGTCCGCCTGAACGGGAAGACAGGAGGTCATTTAAGACCTGAACCGTAGAACGGCACCTTTGACGATGCTCGCACCACAGAGGACGTCAGCTACACCCGTGAGCTCAAAGCCCCAGCGTAGGATTTCAACCCTCTCCTTTTGGAGTTTTTTTTTTAAAAAATCATTCTTGTAAGGAAATTGTATCCGTGTCCATGAATGACAAGAATTTAAATATTGACCGTAAACTGAAGCTCGGTCATTTTAAGCAACAAAACTTTCAGTGTGTATGCTTGCGGTCTTAATCAAACCTACAGTCAAATCAATTCTCTCCCAAGTTTAATTTCAAGATAAATATTTGAAGCGCGCATCCAACAGAGCGGTTCCCTAGTATGATTTAGCTTTTGCAGTTAAATCACGAGTCAGAGGGAAAATAATGTCGTGTTAACTAATCACAATATGCTGCAGAAGCGGAGAATACAAGCAGCCATTTCTGAATTAAGTACACAATGTAAATGTTAGCCGTTACTGCACATCCAGTCAGATAGAGCCTAAAACATAAGCCTTTATATTCTTCATCCAGTCGAATTATGGCATTACAGGAAGACATAAGGACAGGGATGTGGAAGAAACAAGATATTTGCATGGGGGATTACCAAACCTGTTTGTTTCCAGGACTCATTAACCAGCATTTTAAGTTTATCATCTCCTTTGCTGAAGATGAAGCAGGTGAGTGAAAGCAGCTACTGTTAAAAGTGTGTGTATTACTCTTGTATCTCAATAGTCTTGAACAATGTTTGATCGCTAGCCCTGGACTAGTTATACTTAACTTATAGTGGGACCTTACAGAGTTCACTATTACAATTTAAATGTCACATCTCCAGTGATCTCCTGCCTGACATACGTATGAGCCGGTGACTTTGTCTCTGTAATTAAACTTACATCATTCTAGATTTGTCAGGCACACATTTCTTGATTCTGAATACTGAGTTACCTGCCTATGCGTATTGCAATCTCTTTAGGGGAGCTGTACTTCTTGGCTACTTCCTTTCCAAGTGCGTACTCCTCACAAGGGATGATCTACAAACTCATTGATCCTTCCAGGTTAGTAACCATTCGTCTGGTAATACACAGTCACTATACTTCATGGTAAAAATCTTGGGAAGTGCTTTGAGATGTCTCGACGGCGTGATGAGACGGTGTGTCTAATGCAAGGATTATTAATCTTCTGATTACAAAGTTGTATAACAACGAACTGGGTCAGGTCCATGACTCAAAGACCACCCATGGGCTAACACAAAGCCATATTTTAGTGAATCGTAGCAGAGGATTGCCATAATGATCAGGTCCTCACCAGCTAAATACAAATTCATTTGAAAAGATCTTTGAAATTGGAAACCTTGTAGTCATCTTTGGGACTGACCAAAACTACCTGTTTAGCCCGTGCCTTCAGCTCCCCTCTCGACTCTCTTCCCCCTCCTCGCTCCCTCCCTTCCCTCCCCTCACCCTGACCATTTCCCCCCTCCTTGCTCCCTCCCTTCCCTCACCCTGACCATTTCCCCCCTGCTCGGGTCATGACCCAACTGTGTAGCGTCTTGGGACGTCCTCCTGACGTGAAAGGCGCTTTATAAATGGAATCTTGTTGTTGTTGTTGTTGTTGCATCTAATTGAATATAAATAAAATATTGTTCCCTTAGCACAACCACGTGGAAGTGGGGTACATGGAAATCTCAGCTTGGTTTGGATACTCTTAAGCACGGTGATGCGTTTCCATGAGTGTCAGACACCCGGCTGACACTCTCCCCCCCCCCCCCCCCCCCCCGCCTCCACTCCGAAATAAAAATTATTCATGTTCGTTCCATTTAATTACTGGTTAAAAGTGATTCCTTACTCCAACTGAGTAATGGGAGCGAGAGAGAGGGGATAATATGCATTATCGGAGGTAGTATTTATCACAGCAATAATAATAATCCTTGCATTTGGCAATAGTGCCTTTCATGACGAGAGGCCATCTCAAAGCACTTCACCGGATTTTTACTGTAAAATGTAGTGACTGTAGGCAAGCGATGACAAAAAAAATTGATTGGAGTCTAAATTGTGGTTAGTGTCATGTTGACAGAGCTGGAAGATATATTATTTTCAATTGAGAAACTTTTTTCGGGGGCTGGACTGTTCTCATAATTGGATAATTTCCAAGCTGGACGGATTTATGGCAGAGTGAGTAGTGAAAGAAAGAAAATTTATTGTGTGCGGATACGGGCCTGGACTTCCAACAAACAGTGGATGTGAAACATTTCTAACAGTAAAATATTTACATGCTCTGGAATTCCTGGATTGATTTTCCATCTGCGTAAAACAGACGCATCTCGTTAACTCCAATTGGATGTTTACTGCACTTTAACATGGAAATTGTGCGTGGGAACTAATCGAAAATAATAATAATAAACCTTGCATTTGATATAGTGCCTTATGACGTCTTCGAGACGTCTCAAAGTGCTTCACAGAGTATACTGAAGTGGACTCGCTCTATATTTTGTGGGCGAAACGCGGCAGCCAGTTGCGGACAGCAGTGCCCCCACAAACACTCGTGGATTGAAGTGACCGAATTATTATTATTTTTTTTGAAGGAATTCATACCCACAGAAAAGCGATCCACCAATCGACTAACAACCTGGTAAACAGAGGCGTGTGTGTGTGTGTGTGTGTGTGTGTGGAGTAAGGAAAGTTGCCCAAAGTTTCACCCTGTCCGGGAATCGAACCCAGGTCCTCCCGCTTGCAAGGCGAGAGCTCTCTAACCACTGAGCGACAGGAGCTCCACAAACTGCATTCATAGACATGCAGTTACACAGTTCTGCTTCGTCGGTTGAATTTGCTTTTATTTCCTCTTGCAGGACGGCTGCTCCAGGGAAGTGTAAACACAAACCAGTGCCAGTCGAGGTCAAAAGCAAACGCATTCCATTTGTGGCCCAAGAAAGTACGTCTCCACAAAGTGGACGGTTTGTTGCCCGCTCGTAGTTCAGGCCTTCAGCCGCAGCGAGCTCGGAATCGCAACACGCGACATCTGCAACGATCGTTCGTACACGTCACGGCTGTTTGCGGGTCAACGCACAAATTAGTTGGCGCTTTACAGGGAACCTCGTGCTCGCTTTGCGACGTCCTCTCGACGTTTGAGGTGCTGTGTTATTAATGCAAACATTATTATCTAAAATGCAGTCACGGTCTCTGAGGATTGGGAGCGGATTTCACCTCGAACGCCAGTCATAAATGTTGACTCCTTTTGTTCACATGAACCATCCTCTCAACATGCAAGACTGTAACTGTATAAATGTAAATTTTATCGTATTTTTGACCAAAGAGACAATTATCTGTGACTGCAATTCTGACCCCTAGATAGTATTTTTTGCGCCAAGCTTTAGAATTGCAGTTTAATGAATAGAGAAGAGATGAATCACTGCAAAGTTAATGGGATTTCTTCTTAAAATCCTCCTTTTTCTAAAAAAAAACTGCTTCCTTTTAAGAATCAACCTTTCTCCCGAGGGTAAAAATCACAAAATGAAGGAGGCAAAATTGATGGCGTCCGTTCTCCGGGCGGAGGGGGTGGGGTGGGGCGGAAAATGTGCTTATTTTTAATGGATCAATCAAACACACGCCTCTTGTACTAAGTTTGACACGAGCAGTAATTAGTTGTGCGCTGAGTCTCGTGTATTGGGAACGGCTCAGCTCTTTGCAGATAGCAGTGAATCCCAACAAGCTGAGAACTGACCAACAATACATCCCGTGGATCGAGGGCTGCCTGCACAGAGCACAGTGAATCTCATGAATTGGGAGCTCAGCGATTCACAAAGCACAATTAATCTTACAAGCACAGAGTCACGTTCCTCACAGCGAGTAATTCATCTCGTGAGTTGAGAGACCAGTTCTTTACCGAGGGCTCTTCATCTCGTGAGCTGGAAGACCTCTTCTTCGCGGAAACTGATGATAATGTTGTGCCCCCGTTCCCCACTTTTAACGGTAGGGCAACACTGGGATGATACAATTTCCCGCTCCCTTGCTGTGAGGAACAACCTAATTCTCAGTATCTGTTTAGTTTCGCTCCCTGAGAGCAATGCGCAGGTGCAACTCCAGGTCCAATTACTCTTAACAAAGCAACACTAGGTGCACCGTTATTCAGGCTCACACTTTGAGAAGTCTCCCGTCACATTGCTGTTACAAAGGCAGCAATCTTGTGCTCTAAGTTCCACCATATGGTGGAGATTCCCGCTTATCACAATGGCAAAGTGCCAGGAAAATAATTCCTATTGTAAAACCTCAGCGAGTTACACAGAACTGAAGCATTGTTTGTTGAACGCCCCCTGAAGTACACTCCATACCCACAAGCAACTGGGCAATTCAGCTGATGTTTCCCCAATACAACACAATACAATGGGGCCATCAAGTCCACAAATCCAGAAGAGATGGACTGGAGAGGAGACTGGTTCCATGGATAGTTATAGTAAATTATTCTTCAAAAAAGTACGGAAGTATGCAGATCTTACCTTGCAAGATCAATTTTGATTTAAAATTGGAAATTTTTCAATTCAATCTCAATTTGGAAGGCAATTGGTGTCAAGATTGGGAGAAGATTGACTTTCGAATTAACTTAGAAGAGGTAATCAGGAGAAAAAAAATGTGAATTTAGCTTTTTCTGAATGACAAAAATATAATACAAAATTAAATTTCTATTGCGCTTTTCACGTTGGGAGGACGTCCCAAGGAACTGGATGCAGCATCAAAGAGTAAAGACTTTCTCTGTTCTCAATGCAATTCCACAAGAAGTGGATGTAATACATTATAATCCTGCATTTGATTCAGCGCCTTATTACGTCTTCGAGACGTCTCAAAGTCTCACAGAATATACTGTAAAGTGAATTGACTATGTTTTGTGGGCGAATATATTGATGTGATATCGTTCTGTTTACTTCACAGAGACTCTCACGGAAATAAGTGCTGCAGTTCCTGCCTCCACTGTTCCTTCGAGAAAGAGACTGAAGACCACAAAACGGCCACCAGCCACGACTGTTGGAAGTACAGCTCGGCCTTCAGACACAGCAATGGTGAGACCCACCAGGAAAAGCTCTCGTAAAAAGCCAGTGACTCCCAAACCTTCAGGTCAGACCGTCAAACCTCCCGTTAAAAGACCCACGGCACGAAAAAGCACAGCAGCGAAATCGCGGAGGATAATTCCATGGAGTCCGACCTCTGACACTTCGTTAGCCAGTCCAACCCAGGGACGTCATCCGTCTCGAGGCAAGCAAGTGACCAGGTCCAAATCTCACAGGGTATCTAGAAAGAAGAGGCCAAAGAGCAAATCGAAGGCCAAGCCAACGCGAGACAGAGCGGGCTACAAAAGGTTGACACCGTCTGCCCGGCCAAGGAAGGAAAACATTTCACAATCTGCAAAGGGAAGGCAGCCAAAGCCCGTTCCTAAGAAGACAGCAGCGAAAGCAATCAAGGTGGTGAAACGCTCTCGGCACAAACGTGTGAAAACTGGGAAAGCACCGAGGAATTGACTCCTGTCTTAAAAAAAAAAAGAAAAAAAAAAAGAGAAAACGTCAGCAGGTTAAACAGACCCAAAACATTATTTGTTGTACGCTGGCCGGAACACACTCTGTACACACAAGCAACTGGATGATTCAGCTGATATTTCGCCACTGAGGCACGCGAGTATGATGATCGAGTTCCGCAAATCCAAACGAGAGGGTCAAAAGAGCTTACAAGCACCGAGCCACGTTCCTCACAGCGAGTATCTCATCTCGTGAGCTGAGAGACCAGCTCTTTGCAGAGGTTCACTTCATCTCGAGAGCTGGAAGGCCTCTTCTTCGCGGAAACTGATGATAATACCGTGCCCAATTCCCGCCATTCCCCACTTTTAACGGTAGCGCAACACTGGGATGATACAATTTCCCGCTCCCTTGCGGTGAGGAACAACCTAATTCTTAGTATCTGTTTAGTTTCGCTCCCGGGCATCGGAGGTCAATGCGCAGATGCAACTCCAGGTCCAATTACTCTTAGCAAAGCAACACTAGGTGCACCGGTATTCAGGCTCACACTTTGAGAAGATCTCCCGTCACATTGCTGTTACAAACACAGCAATCTTGTGGTTTAAGTTCCACCATATGGTGGAGATTCCCGCTTACGAAAACGGGCAAAATGCCAGGAAAATAATTCCCGTTGTAAGGAACTTACAGCAGGTTAAACAGAACTGAAGCATTATTTGCTGGACACCCACTGGAATGACACTCCGTACACACAAGCAATTGAGTTGGTATTTAGCCCATTACAACACGACACAATTGCCACCAGCCACGACGGTTGGAAGTGCAGCTCAGCCTTCAGCCATCAGCGATGGTGAGACCCACCAGGCAAAGCTACCTACCATAAAAAGCCAGTGACTCCCAAACCTTCACCTCAGACCATCAAACCTCCCGTTTAAAAAAAAATACACCCAGTGCACGAAAAGGCACAGCAGCAAAATCGCGGAGGATAATTCGAGTCTCGAGGCAAGCAAGTGAACAGGCCCCAAATCTCACACGGCATCTAAAAAGAAGAGGCCAAAAGAGCAAATTGAAGGCCAAGCCAACGCTAAATTAAACAAAAGTCCACACCAACCGCTCGGCCAAGGAAGAAAACCCCTTCCACAATCTACAAAGGGAAAGAATCCAACGCAGGCAAAGCCCTTTTCTAAGAAGACAGGAGCGCAAGCAATTAAGGAAGCGAAATGCTCTCGGGCACAAGCGTGTGAAAGCTGGGAAAGGTTAAACGGTCCTGAGGCATTATTTGTCATACACTGACTGGAACACACTCTGTACACACCAGCAAACCGGATGATTCAGCTGATATTTTGCCAACATGGCACAGGGGTACGATGAGCGAGTCCGCAAATCCAACCAGGAGGGATCGAAAGAGACGGGCTGTGAGGCAGCAAACTACTTCCGCGGCATCTTCAAAAGCACGGAAATAATCCAGCGCTCGATCTTCATTCGCCGTCGGCGTGCAGAATAGTAAACACATTCGATCAGGCCCTTGTCTAGGTAGATAGTTCCTGAGGTTCCAGTTAAGCCAAATAAATGGTAAAGAAAGCTTAAAAAAAAGAAAATCCTCCTTGCTTTACTCTCAAGAAGTAACGCAATCAGACAAAATCCAGGCACAAGGGACATTAGTTTCTGGCTGCAGTAAAGGTACGAACAATCTCAGGGAAAACAAATTCATAAGACGAGCACTAAATCTCAATAAGATGAACTGCAAGGCTCAGGGTCCCCAGGAGTTCGACAGCACAACAATAAAGTCACTCTCGTTTAACAGGACAAGAGTGCTTTGTCACTGAGGCGTGTTCGCGTAAGGTTTTGGGCTGCTCTAACTGCAGTTCGAAAGGCGAGGCTGGCCCTACAGGCTCTCGGGTGATCACTGGAATTTAACGATGGCACGAAAATAAAGCGTCAATACAGAAAGACCGATCGAGGCGCGAGTGTCAAAATCTCTCTATGTTTGGTGTGCACATTCTGTTGGGTGGAAGTGACCATCGATGATAATAATAATCCTTGCACATGATATCGCGCCTTATCACGTCTTCGAGACGTCTCACAGCGCTTCACAGGATATACTATTGGATATACTTCACAATAATAATCCCTCGAAAAACAAAGACAATAATAAATTGGTCATTTTTAATCCACGACTGTTTGTGGGACATTGCTGTGCGCAATTGGCTGCCGCGTTTCCCCCACAAATATACAGTCAATTCGCTTTACAACGTGTTCCGTGAAGCGCTTTGAGACATCGGGAAGACGTGAAAAGCACTATATCAAATGCAAGTATTATTATTATACTGTCAAGCTCGGGTCCTCTCGCTTGCGAGGCGAGTGCTCTAACCAACACGCTACAGGGTTCCACAAATGGCTACTGAAGACACTTATTACAGCGCCATGTGGCAGTTGACAGCAATGTGTAGGTCTATCGACAGAAACGTAATCGAGACCCAGTACCAGTCCAGAGTTTCTCATTGTTCAATTCAACCTTGTAATTACTATTATGCAAAACGGTGCACCTGATCCGGGCAGGGAATTGTTTTTTCACCTCATTGCAATTGAGAACGCCATTTCAGCTCAAGGCTTCATGTTTTAAAAAAAACAACTATTTTTATCCGAAATTATAAGTGAGAATCATTGCGTTTGAAGCAGCCCCTCATCGCGTCGTCAAAACCCCTCAAAGCATTTCACGGATTTAGTGCAAAGTAAAAGTGCAGTCACTGTGTAATTGTAGGTGAATGCGTGTCTGGGCAAAGTATCTGGAAGTACAAGCGATTTTTAGAGCACTTATAACATCTCACAAAGATTTCTCAAAGCGCTCGCAAGTACAGTAATCACTTTCAGGCTCAGCGACCGTTTCTGTAGGTAATTGTAGCAGCCGTTTGCTTCAGCAAGGTCCCATAGCAAACACACAGTCACTACCTCAACAGCAATTAATTGACTGTGAAACCACTTTGAGACCTTTCAATGTCATAAGCACGTCATCAAATGCAAGGATTATTATTGTGTTGTACAATCAATCTGCAAGGAAGGGAAGACAATATAATAGTGTGTGAGAAACCTACAGAATTTTTTTTTGCAGTGAGCAGGATGATCATTAATCCTACCCGGCTTGGGTAGAAGAGGTTGCTGACCATTTTGCCGTGGTTTGCAATGTGAGGGGAAGGTGGAATATTGGATGCAAAGCTACTGTTTTCACTCCACTATACTACACCATCAGCAACTAAACTCCTAACCTCCGAAATCCCTCGCCTACCCCTCCGTCTATTTGTCTTTGAATCCCTTGCCCTAGCCCCACTATCTTGTCTCCGCGCTCTCTCGACCTGCCTGTAAATCCCGGCTCAAACTCTTACCTCATCGATTGCGTCCAAGGTCACCTTGCTCCTTTCCCGTGCTCCGTGTCGGACCACGTCTATGTGATGTTTCTTACGTGGTGGGGTGGGGGGAGGGTAGGGGGTAAGGTGCCGTTGGTGTTTTACCAATATGTGCCCGCCTCGTTGATATTAAGATGTAAAGCTAGCGTTAGAAACCGTAATTACCATATTGCAGCGCTCTTGCAATTCTAAGCACACGGTCATGAATTAATCATGCACTCAGCCTACAAGCTGGGCCTCTTCTTCTGAATTAAAACCATCAATCTTCGTTGCGCAAAGTGGCCATCGAGCTTGAAAGTGCGAGCTGCAATTTCTCCGGGTGCTGATGACGCAAGGTGGGAAACAACAACAACGACGACGACGCCGACAGCATCAACTTCCATTTTATACAGCACCGAAACTGTCTCAAGCAACGGGGTTACCTTGTCCACCACCAGCCAAAACAGTATGCAGGGTAACAAGGTACCAATATGTACATTAGTGTCGATGAGCTAACAGTATTTGCCACTGGCACCGAGCCAGGTAATTGGGTGCTTGTAATGGTCAACACCGACCACTAGAGGGGGATCGTGCAACAAGATTGGGTTGGTTGTGGCCCCTTTAAGAGCAGATTGAACAACACGAGGACCTAACTTGAGCCCTTTCTTACCCATTCTCATTGAGTTTATATTGATATCCAGTATTTCCTGTGTTTGCATTTCACAGATCTGCCCAACCACGGGCTTTGCGACCCTTTTTTTTTCACGTAAATCAAACCATTCGGATTAGAAAAAATATATATTTTTTTGGAAGAGAGAAATTCCGCAACTCTGAAAGACAACTCCAGAGTGCAGCGCTGGGAGCGTGTGGCTGCGATGTTGGAGTTGCCGTCCTTTGGACGAGAAGTTAAACCGAGGTCCCTTCTGCCCGTTCGGGTGAACGTTAAAAATCCCATGGCGTTACCCGAAAAGGAAAGGACGTTTCTTCCAGCGTCCCGGCCAACAATCCTCCAAATAAAATTGATCGTTCACTTCCCTGGCCATCTGTGTGGGACATTGATGGGTACGCATTGGCTGCCTTGTTAGCCCCACGAAAACAAAGTTGCTGAGAAGCACTTTGAGACATCTTCCCAGGACTACTCGGGAGCATGATCTTACTTACCAACGTGCAAAGTTCTTGCAGAAGAATACAGCAGAGGAGATGCTGCCTCTTTGGCTCCATCTCTAAATGCTGTAGTGAGCAAAACATTGTTATTGTTGAAACCAATTAAATCACTGCAGGGATCTAAAGTGTGATCTCATGAAGGCTTTGAAGAACCAGTGTCATTTTTCTAGTACATTTTGTCCTATTAATGTTGTGCATATCTGCTTTCTAGAGGCACCTCCTCAAGGTCTACATTGGCATCAGTGTTCCAAATGATTTTTGAATCAATCTTTATCCTCTGTGTCACATGAAGACAAAGGGACTCTTCTCAGCCATCGTTCAAACCATCATTTATCTCAATCTCTCCTACAATAACAATCTAACCTTTAACATCCCAGTAAAAATGTGTGACACAGTTCTAGCTTGAATTAAAGAAAACGAAGACAGAACTCTCTATTACGGCATCAGGAATTGTTGCATTTCAGCTGAAATGAAGCAGACTTCTCCTGGGCATACAATGCGAAACAACATACACTTAGGTAGCACCTTTCAAATCGGGAGGATGTCTCATAGCGCTTGAGACTGCAAAGCTGGGGGTGGGAGACGAAAGGGGGGGTTGGGGGGGGAAAGGAAAGATGTCCGACCACACAGAACAAAGAACCCCATCCACAGAACATCAAGGAGGAACGTGCAGAGAAGAACAAATGAACCCGGACCTAGAAACCTAAAAAAAATCTCGACAAGGAAAATACACCAATTAGCGGATTTAAAACCGCCGCCCAATTGTTACAGGTGATGATGGCACTGGATTCGAGCTGAGCTGATTGTGTCGATAAAGGACAGGGAGACAGGATAGGGAACCCTGAAACTACAGCCGTTGCTTTAGGTGTGCATTCTGCTCTTCTTTGGATCTCTCTCGCGTTGGTTGTCATCTGTGGCACCAATTGCACAGAGTAATAATTTACGTTCAGAGGAGCGGAGCAGTTCTCTGCAGCAGCACTGACACTTGGCGAGGCATTGATTCCATTGAACGAGAGAGCAGGAACGAGAGAGAGAGTTGGGTCATATTGCATCACAAGGAGACAGAAACCCAATTGGATCCCAGCTTATAATTAATCTTATTTTTTCTCTCGCGGTCACACTTTGCTGCTCTCAGTCATGTTTTTTCCTTAGTGAATCAGCCGACTGGCTTCTGGCATGGGAAAGATATCGCATCCACTTGGCTCCATAGAAGCAGAGCACTGGGAGATAGTTTGATGACTCAGTCAATCAGCATAAGCCTTTCGAGAAATGGTCTTGTCATAGCATCCCATGCATTCTTGATGATAGCATCCCATGCATTCTTGGTCTCAAGACCTCTCTCTCTTTGACCGTGCCTTCAGCTCCCCTCTCGACTCTCTACCCCCTCCTCGCTCCCTCCCTTCCCTCCCCTCACCCTGACCATTTCCCCCCACTGCTCGGGTCCTGACCCACCTGTCCAGCGCCTTGGGACGTCCTCCCGACGTGAAAGGTGCTCTATAAATGAAATCTTGTTGTTGTTGTAGCGCTTTTCAAAAGTGCAGATCTTTGGAGTCAAAAATTAACCAGCCCAATGCTTGTTTGAAATGAGTCCCCATCGCCCCCCACCCCCACACACAAATATGTTTTAACAGAATGGCAAAACCTATCTAAATAAGGAAATGTGCTTTCGAAAGCACCTCGCATGATTTTCTTTCTAATCTTATTTTTTCCATTCCCCTGCACCAAGGGCAAACGTCGGTCTCAATTGCATGTATTATTCACACCAACGGTTTGGGAATCTTATCTTTCAAATAGGCTGTATTTGAAATTCCGTGAGTGACTAATAAGTCAGTTCTATTATTCAAATGCGCAGCGCTGACTTTAATGCATTTTGTGCGAAGCTGCTGAGGAAAGTACTCCAGTTTCAAAGCGCTCGTCTATTCTGCAGCGCGAAAAGGGACGGAACGAATGCATGGCTGCGTCCAATTATGATAGCATCTCTTCCATGTCCTCATGGTGCAAATTATTGGGGTTGTATTTGTCTTGTGTTACGAGTGACGTTTGTAGGACAGTAAATGGCTGGTCCTTTCTACTCGATGGTTCAGTTACTGTCAATCTGGCGTAAGCAAACCGGACAACACGGAACCCACCTACAGCTTCAGATGGGACTGCCCATCTCCATTTACTCTCGAGCCCGAAATTACTTAACCGTCGCCTGGCCCAACAGAAAAGTGCAGAAATATTTGCCAAAAATTGAAGGGAAATGTCAAAAACTTGCGGAGAATTGCGCGGAAATTTGACAAACCCCTGGCGGATAATTGCGGAGCTGGTTGGTGCAATGGAGGTACATCTCACTGCCGATCAAACTGATTAAAAAAATAAAATAAAATGAAATCCATTAACTGGCCGCATTGAATTCTGCCTACAAAT